AACATAAATGCAAACATTATTGTCAGCCTTGACTGTGAACTCAATGTACTCAACCTGCTGACTGAGATTCCTACTGATTGTGCCAGGCTGACGCCAGTCATAATATTGCTCTAACAGTGAAAAAGTGAAAACCATTAGCTGGGTTAACTGGATTTGTTATGGAAACACAAGGAGAGCAGCACAAGGCACCATCCTCCAGATGCATTCATGCCTGACACTCTTGGATTCTCCTGCTGAGCTTGAAAAGGATGTAGGAAGTTTCCTTTCCTCTTGCGCTGCTTCTGTTAATCTGAACCACCCTCCTGAAATTGCGGTAACTGCAGTGTAATGTTTCCGTCACCACTGGAATTCATCCTCTTGTGTCCAGTGGGTGCAAGAATCAAATTATTTGTTCAGTGGGGTAGCATTTCTCCACCCATGTAGGAAACATTATAACTGTTTGGAATTGCTATAGAAACCAGTAGCTTCAGTCAGAAGGTTCATTACTACCAAGTCTGTGGTGTTACCAGGTACCTGCAATTGTACCTGCTGCTTCAAGCAAGACGTTCTTAATTGGTATGATTATGACCAGGTTGTGGCAGTCTGGCCAAGCACTGTGGAGCAGACAGTGGTTCACAATAACTGCATGAAGTGTATTGCAGGTAAAAAAAACATCATATTCATTGCATCTTAGTTATTTAAAGGATCATCTGAGTACAGAACAAAATAAATTCTTTAAACACCCAGAAGTTTTATGTTAGAAAAACATAACCAATTGTACGTTTGCCTCAGGATATAGGTTAGTGGCTAGTGCAGACTTTGCTGTGCTGTATGTGCGCAATATATCACGACCCAAAGACCAGGACTCAATTATAATAATAATAATAATCCTTGCATTTGATATAGCGCCTTATCACGTCTTCTAGACTTCTCAAAGCGCTTCACAGAATATACTGTAAAGTGAATTGACTGTATATTTGTGGGCGAAACGCGGCAGCCAATTGCGCACAGCAGTGCCCCCCAAACAGTCGTGGATTGAGTGACCTGAGTGTTATTTTTTTTTATTTTCTTGAGAGATTATCATCAGGCGTGTGGAGTAAGGAACCTTGCCCAAGGTTTCGCCCTGCCGGCAATCGAACCCAGGTCTCTCACTTGCGAGGCGAGTGCTCTAACCACTGAGCTACAGGATTCCAGAATTATATGGAGAACTGAAATGAGAATTGAGCCAGAATTCTCAGTTGTTGATGCTGGCAAAAGGTTATAGTAGTATTTCTAACTGGTAGAAATTCTTGACTCAGGTAATTGTTGTCAGTTGAAATCCATCTGGAAAATTTAAAATGCAGACACTTCTCTTAAAGATAGATTTGAGGTACTTTCACTAAGATCTAGAAGTGATGAGAAAAATGCATTTCTGGGGTATGGTTTTAGAGCTGACACTCATTGATAGGACAACAGTAAAACATCTCTTCAGACTTGTCCAGAATTTAGTATTTTTCCACAGAAACTGAAAGTCACTGGCACCAAATCCTCAACACATTACATAAAATAAAAGCAGTGTCTGGAATCTGCAGCCTAAGGGCTCAAACCTGAGCTGTTTTGGGAACATGGTTGTTAATTGATCCAAAGAATTTAATTCCATGACCGGGGGGGGGGAAAGAGAGAAACTGACTTCTCTTTTCGAAGAGTTTATCAAGCCCATGTGAATGTGAAGTCTTTGTGTATTCACTTTCAGTTTAGCAAATAGGATTGTACAGTGTCTGTACAATCTTCTACCTCAGAAGTAATTTCCGCCATCTTCAGTTTCATAAAATAATATTTTGCCTCTGTATAGAACCAATTGTGTAAAAGGACAATTGAAAGTAGATACTGGGCAAGAAATGGACCAAAATTTAGAGATTATGGAATGCACGACCAAAGAATGTTTTTTTTTAGGAGATTTTTGAAAGGGAGGATATTGATTTGTGGAAGAAGGTTATGGGTTCAAGTTTTACATCAGGACTTGGAATTATATAGTCTAAAAGGTGATGCTCCCATGCAGTGCTGGGGTGTGTCACATTGTTTGAGGTGCCGTCCTTCGATTGAGATATTAAACCTACGTCCCGTTTGCCTGTTCAGGTGACCATTAAAGATCCCATGGCACTATTCGAAAAGAGAAGGGAGTTTCTCTTGGTGTCTGGTGAACAAATCTGCCAAATAAAAGTGTTCACTCACTCCATGGCTGTTTTTGGGACACTGCTGTGCGCAACTGGTTACTCTGTTTTGCCCACAGAATTGTCAATACACTTTATAGTTTATCCTGTGAAGAGTTTTGACACATCTCGACGACAAGATAAGGTGCTACGTCAAATGCAAGGATTATTATTATTATTATCTCGAAGTGATGTGATGCTATGTCAAATCCATAGGTTATTATTATTATCTCGAAGTGATAAGGTGCTAAGTCAAATGCAAGGATTATTATTAATAATAAAATTTTTGAACTTCAAAGTTCTTTTCTCCAACCCGCATCAAAATACTTTTTCATTTCTATTTTCCTCACCCATATCTTAATTGTTTTAAAGCCGTAACGGACTCTCCCCCCACTACCTTGGCCGAAATGGCTTGTCTGGTCAGAACAGCCATATCTACAGGGCGCTCTTCCAGAGCAGATGCTGTTTCCTGTCTGGTTGCAAACGATTCCTCCAATGTACATGTGTCGAGAGGTAGGATGGGAGAAAGATCGTGGGAATGGAGTGGTCCAGGCTTTTTTGATGGTGTAAAATTGTTATATTCTTGCAGTAACAGCACCGCCTGCAGAGACCCTCAGTGAGTTGTGTAAATAACGACTAGTTCATGTCGGCAGAGGATAGAAATCCAGAATTTGTTTACTCCACGGGCCACGTCTTTTGCAATTCCTGCAGGTCCTGAATGTTATCCCTGTAGCCTTGAAGATGCTGCAGTGTAAGGGTTTAGGATTACGCATATGTAAAAAGTATGATATAGTATTCAACTTATTATTTTGAACACAAAATATACAGTCAATTCACTTTACAGTATAAAACAAAACACAAAATACTGCAGATGCTGGAAATCTGAAAACAAAAACAGAAGTCGCTGGGAACACTCAGCAGGTCAGGCAGCATCTATGGAGAAAGAAAAGTGAGTCAACGTTTCAGGTCCACGACCTCCGTTCTTCGTTCTAACAAAGTTCTCCAGGTCCTCCGTTCTGATGAAGGGTCATGGACCCGAAACATTGACTCACTTTCCTTTCTCCATAGATGCTGCCTGACCTGCTGAGTGTTCCCAGCGACTTCTGTTTTTGTTTTCACTTTACAGTATATTCTGTGAAGCGCTTTGAGATGTCTCGAAGACCCAGTAAGGTGCTATATCAAATGCAAGGATTATTATTAGTATTAACTCCAACCCGCTCTTCCCTCAAAGGTGCTGGAACAAGTCATCGCCTCCCAGCTTTGCTCATTCCTTTCCAACTCCCTCTTCTAGCTCCTCCAATCTCATTCATGCCTGCTTTACGTATGGGCTCAACTATTGAAATGCCCTGCTCACCAGACTCCCAGGCTACTGACCATTCAGAACTCCACAGCCCATCACCTCCCTCTCTAAGCCCACTACCTCAGCCTGCTGCTCCCATCCCCCAGTGGATCGAATTCAAGATTCTCGTTCTCAATTTCCTCCACGGTTTCAAACTACCCGACCTCCAGCGACCTTGCTGCCCCGGCCACTCTCCACTGTGCTTCATGTCCCCTCCCTGACTATGCTATCCTTTTGGGGGGAGATTACAGTTATTGCTCCCCAGATATGTCATCCTTGGAGTGCCTCTGCCTTGCCCTTCTCTCCCCACCTTCAAAGCCCACATTAAGACCTATCTTTTGACAATGCTTTTGGTAATGTTGTATCACCCACCCCACTCCAATCCACCCCTCAGGTTTCCCCAACTCCATGAAAAAGCCGAAGATTATTTTGAAATTCTAGTGTTCAGTGTACCCATGGGGTAAGTTTAAACAACAAACAGATGGATCATTCCTTTTTNGCTGCTTGTGTTAACAATTCTCCTGGTACATTTGCTTTGTCACTTAAAATATAAGATAACACTTTCTTTGTTTTTCTCTTGTGAGCAGAAAAAAGAGGCATTTAGAACAAATATGTACCTTGACAAAAGTGGTTATATTTTCAACAGATGTCACTATTGTGCAATTTCACAACTGTTAATATACTCTCCAACTTTGCCAAATGATTGCACCATTTAAAGAACATCTTGTTTTAAGTATTTGAATTGCAGTTGAAAAGACATAGGAATGTGGATCCTACAGCCCCATACGTGCGGAGAAATTCCATCTGGGTCTGGATTTATTGTATTTATGTAGCATTTCAGAGAATCCAGAATTTGGCAAATTATGAAACACGGCCTTAATTTTGAAGCCACTTTTGGGCAAGTTCTTTTAGGAAGTAACAAAAAACATCTTCATCTTCAAAGTTAAGACTGAATTTGTTCAATTCTAGAAGCTTTAAAATGGACATAGAAAGACTGGTAAAATGGGCAGACATGTGGCACTGTGGTTTTTAACACTGTATACATTCAAAGCACTTTACAGCAATTTACTCACATTGTGAACGTTTTTTGAAGCCAGACCTCAGTTTAACTCGTTTCCATACGACAGTACCTCCTACAATAAAGCACATCACCCAGTTCTGAATTGGTGTGTCAGCTTGGACTATGAACTCAAGTACTGATATGGGCTTTGAACCCATGACCTTCTGACTCTGAGTCAATTTTGGCAAGCCAACACAAGGGCCTTCTAAACCACCATCATCATCATCATCATCATCAATATGTTTCACAGTATCTGTTCCCTAACTCTAATCACTGTGCTGAAACCCTATTATATACAACATTATAAATTCCTGTTATTAAGTTTGAATTCATTAGCCATGGGATAAACTAGCTTCCAATAACCTAGGAATACCACAGCGATTAATGCCTTAAACAGATTGTAGATGTCAACTTGTGTATTTTTTCTTTGCAGCCTAACTGCACAGTGACCGAGCGGGCAATTGCACGATTAGCATCCCATCCACTGGTGAGCAAGAAAATTGCGGCTATTAAAGGTAAGACAAAACAACTGTCAAAAAGTTAAATGTTCTTAATTATTTACATTTAAATTGGAGATACGAGGTCTACATTTGTAAGCTAATATCTTAGAAACTCAGCTTGTTCATCCTTATGTTTGAGTGCTGATCATTCTTGCACCTGCGAGCAGCACTAATTTTTCTATCTATCAGAGCCTCCAGTCATTTCTAAGGAATAAAACCTATTATCATTGAACCCAGTATCCTTGTCAAGCACTCCTATTTTACATATAGCCTAGCTTCACAGAATTTGCTGTAAAACGTAGTAACTATATATTTTGTGGGCAAATGTGGCAAACAATTTGCCCACAAAAATGTTCCATAAACGACCATACCACAACATACCTCATCCAAAGGATGGCACCTCGGACAATTTGCACATTCCCAAGCAATGCTTTTGAATTTCAACTTCAAACTATGTGAGCTCAAATTCATGACATGGGGCTTGAACCCACAAATTTTTGACTCAGGCAATAGTGCTACCATTCAGCCTGACACATTGAAATCCACCCTACATTGAATGTATAGAAATTGCCACCTCCAACTTTGCATTTTTTGTCCACTCTTCATCCAGGTGAGATTGACAACTCCTTGCTGAATGCAGAGCAGACTTGTGCTGTAGATCTGCCCCAGAAAATATACAGTTAATCCACGTTACAGTATATTCTGTGAAGCGCTTGAGATGTCTCAAAGACATGATAAGGGCTATATCAAATGTAAGAATTATTATTGTTGTTATTATAGGACTTGTGTAGCGGCCTTAATATTCAGCAGAGATTGGTGACTTTCACCCACTGTGCCACCCATCCCCAAGCCAAACCTATTTTAAAACTTGATACTTTTTTTGTGACCTCTTAACTTCTCACACTGATGATATTACAGCATCAACCATCCATACAGTCACAAGGATAGTGAGATGGTCTGGATCATATCAAAGTCAGTCGGTCGTCATTTTAGAAGTGAAATAAAAACATGCATTAAGTTTTGGCAGTTCATTAAAGGGAAGGTTCTGTGAAATTGGAATATTCTCTTTTTGATGTTACAGAATACTGAAAAAGCTGTATTTGGCTCCCCACAACAGTTTACATTTTTGGAAAAACAAGTTATAAAATAATTACGCATTAAGAAAAACCACAAGTTTTTTTGTCTTGCTGGGAAGAGTTCGATACAGGTTGAATCTTTTTCAAATACAGTGTAAAAGGCAACGCATACAATACAATTGCTCAATACATTTCTGAGTTCCGATGGATCCTAAAATAAATGAGCGTAACGTACTTGGCTTTCATGTAGTGTCTCATCGGGACAAAACATCTCAATGAATTACTCTGAAGTAGGCAAAGATTACAGCTTATCTGCAGTGAGTGTTGCTGTCTGAGCAAAGCTGACTCCTATATAAAACAAATCGTCCACCAGGAGAGCCTCCTTGTCTGCCTTGAGTGAGAATTCCAAACATTCTTGGCTACAACAGTACAAGGTTGTAACTCATATAATTATGTAATGGAAGAGGCGGGGTTGGCTGTGTTGTGTATTTCTACCACCTAAACATTGCTGTGGGTTTGGAACAGGAGGAGTAGCCTAATGCTCCTCAATTGTTGGACTACGCAAAGCTGACAAGGAATAATAATAATAATAATAATAATCCTTGCATTTGATATAGCGCTTTTCATGTCAGGAGGACATCCCAAAGCGCTTCACAGAACACACTGTAAAGTGAATTGACTGTATATTTGTGGGCGAACGCGGCAGCCAATTGTGCACAGCAGTGTCCCACAAACAGTCGTAGATTGAAAATGACCAATTTATTATTGTTTTTGGTTTTGGAGGGATTATTAGGTGTGTGGAGTAAGAAAACTTGCCCAAGGTTTCACCCTGCCTGGAATTGAACTCAGGTCTCTCACTTGCAAAGCGAGTGCTCTAACCACTGAGCTACAGGACTCCACATAGAGAGAATAGAGAGAGGAGGGAGCATTCTGTTTCACCCTAAATGTGGAGTGATGGTCTGTCAAGAAGCAACAGTTTATGTTTCACTGATAAGATGGCATGTTGTGGTATTGAGTGGTTTGTTTCCTTCTCTTATGTTGAGAGTATTTCAGTAGGCTGTTTGGCTAAGTGAATCTTTATCATTTTATCTCCAACTATGGATACACAAACTTACAGATGACTGATCCAAGAGGTCACGCGCAATGCAATGCCATAGTTCTTGTGTAAGACATTTATCTGCACAGATATGGAAGGTTGGGCTTGCGAGTACTGTGGAAGATTGAGTGGGGGCTTGGTTTCACAAAAACAGCTTTTGTCTTGTATATCACATCACTTTCTGGATTGTGATATCTTTTTAAGTACCTCATTCCAGGAAAAATTTGCAGGGCAAGAGCAGGGAGTGGAACTTGTTGGGTAGCTCTTTCAAAGAGTCGGCACAGGTACAATGGGCTGAATGCCTCCTGTGCTGTAAGATTCTATGATTCTATGAATCCATCATCTGTATGTTCTCATAATGAGTAGGTTCATGCACCATAAAAATATTTTCTCATTTCCCCCCAAAATACTGCTTCACTTCACACTAAAATATCTGCAATAAAAGAATTAACCCACTTAATCTGTCCACTTCAGAGACCTTCATCTTTATTATGCAGTGTTTTGTTTTTAAGTCCTATTCTATTATGATACTGTGAACAAGATTAAAGTTGGATAAGGTCCTGTTTTTATTTTATCCTGTTCATAACTTTCAAAGAACCTTTAAGATTTGAGGAAAAATGTTAAATCTATGGTTCAGAAATAAATGCATAATTGCTATTTTTCATAACAATCTTTTATTGGAAAATCCATATATGAAAGCTTTGGGTGAGGACAAAATTGGGTGCAGTTTTGGTGGCCCAATAGTTGAATAGTCTGCTTACTCCACACGCCTGATAGTAATCCCTACAAGAAAAAAACAAGAATAAATTGGTCACATAAATCCACAACAGGTTGTGGGACACTGCTGTGCGCAGTTGACTACTGTGTTTCGCCCACAAACATACAGTCAATTCACTTTGCAGTAAGTGCTTTGAGACGTCAAAAGCGCTATATCAAATGCAAGGTTTATTATTATTATTATTACAGCTTGGTGACAATCACTGTCTCTGCTGACCACAGAACAGTGGCCACTTCAGCAAAGTACTAAAGATTGTCAACACTCATTGAAGTGTACCCCAGCAAAGGAGAACAACAACAACTTGCATTTATATAGCGCCCTTCGCGCGGGGCAGTATCCCCGAATACTTGACAGTGGCGGAGTCTGACACCGAGCCAGGGGGAGAGGGAGGGGGGAGGTGACCGTAAGCACGATCAAAAAAGGAAGATCTTTAGGTGAGATTTGAAGATGGAGAATGAGGGGGTTAAGGCAGAGGGGTTGAGGAAGACGGTTCCAGAGTTTCTGGGCGTAGTGGCAGAAGGCACGGCCACCAATGGGGAGCGGAGGTGATGAGGGTCAAACAGGAGGCGCGAGCCAGTCGAGTGGAGGAAGTGGGTAGTGGAGTGGGGGTAAGCAGGTAGGATAGGTAGGGAATTGTGAGGGTATGAAGGGATTTGAAAACGAGTAAAAGGATCTTGAAATCAATCCATTTAATGGTTGGGATCCAGTGGATCCTGGCAAGGACTGGTGTGATGGGGGTACAGACTTTTGTATGGGTTAGTATCCTAGAGGCAGAGTTTTGAATTAGTTGAATCTTGTGTATGATGGAGCTGGGGAGACCAACGAGGAGGGCATTGGAATCGTCCAGCCTGGAAGTGATGAAGGCCTGGACGAGGGTTTCAGCTGTTTTGGTTGTGAGGTACGAAGAAGTAGTGAGACAGATGATCGGGGGGGATAAACTGGATAGATATTTGTTGGGTCAGAATATCAAGGGATACGGGGCAAGGGCAGGTAATTGGAATTGAGGTACAGATCAGCCATGATCATGTAGAATAGCAGAACAAGCTTGAGGGGCTAAATGGCCTACTCCTGTTTCTATGTTGAAGTGAGCAGACCCATAAACAAATGTCTTCTGCATTTTCAACTGGCTCATACAAATATTACATCTAGAAACTGGGAAAAAACGAATGTAGGGTAAGATAAGCAACAAATGTACTTGATTGGAGTTTAACTGAAGATTTTCCTTGTTTTCTTGCAGTTGCTGTAGATGCATTCAAAGATTCTCGGCATCAGCAAAAAGAAAAAGAGCAAGACTCGTGCAATAAGCCTGATGTGGTAAAGGAACCGGTACAACAGGCAGAACAGCAACTAGTTTCACCCAATGAAGCAACCAAGGTGAAGCCAACCAAGCTTGCAGATGGGGAAACCGTAACAACAGCTGGGGAACAAATCCTTGCAATTAAAGAGAGGAAATGTGAACTGGAAACTCTGAATAGAGAAAACCGGGATAAGGATAGCAATTCTGTACCTCAAGCTGCAAAAGAATCAACAATGTCTCAGGAAGTGGGAGAAGAAAACAGGTCAATATCATCCCAGACACTAAAAGAACCGCAAGTTGCCGCTGAAACACAACCAACCAAGTCTGTTGAAGACAATACCATTAATTTGGACATCACCAATAACTTAGAGAGCTCCAGTGATGAAGAAAAGGAATATTTTGATGATAGTACTGAGGAGAGATTTTATAATCAGTCATCCAGCGATGATGATTCTTCATTGGATGATTTCTTTATCGGAAAAGTGAAGAGAACAAAGAAGAAGAAACAAGAAGGCGACACTGACTCTGAAATCAACACCGAGGAACAAGGAAAGAAAACTGCATTCAGCAGTGTGAGGAAAGCAAACATTGCTGCCTCTGGCACTGCTGATAAAAACAAGAACACCTCTAAAAGGATAAAGCTTGAGTCTGTTTTCTGTACTAATCTGAGTTCAAAAGCTGCTGAGCTGAAGAGGTAAATAAGAGCTATGTTTCATGTCAGTTTCAGGACATAGTTTGTGTGCGTTAATTAAGCTGTAAAAAGAATGAAGGATCCAGCTGTTTTTAATCTGGAAACTAAAAGGAAGTGCTTAAAAGGTGAGTGTTGTTTTTACACTGGTATGATACAAAATGTTGCAAACTTTTTTTTCTGTTTTCTCAGGAGTCACCAAACAAACACCAAGTTCAACAGAGCAGGTGGGTTCTCTTTTGGCCAACTCGCATCATGGTTCCGTTCAGCATCTGTTAAACTGAGTACAGAGATAGGGAGGGGCAAGGCCTTGGAGAGCCTTGGAGGCGAGAACGAGGATTTTTAAATCTATCCTCTGGGGGATGGGAAGCCAGAGGAGCCGGGCAAGGGTGGGTGTGATGGTGTCGTGGAGCCTGGTGCGGGAGAGGACACAAGCTGCAGAGTTCTGGATGATCTGCAGCTTGTGAAGGGAAGAGTTGGGAAGGCCGACAAGCAGGGAGTTGGCGTAGTCGATCCTAGATATGTTAAATGCATGAATGAGGGTTTTGGTGGCCTGAGGGGTGAGGCAGTGATGGAGCTGGGTGATGTTGCGGAGGTGGGGGAAGGCAAAGCAGATCATGGCCCAGATGTGGGGTAAAAAGGACAGTTGAGGGTCAGCCAAGACCCCAAGGTTTCTGACTGGCTTGGTGAGGTGGAGTGTGCATCCTTGGATGTTGATGCTGACACAGCCTGAGATTTGGAAGTGCTGATGGGAGCCAATCAGGAGGGCCTCGGTCTTCTTGACGTTCAACTGTAAAAAGTTAGCTCTCATCCAGGACTTGATGTCTGACAGACATTTTGTCAGCGCAGCCCTGGAGTCTAGGCTGGAGGCAGAGAGATAGAGTTGGGTGTCATCTACATACATGTGGAAGTTGACCCCATCTCTGCAAATGATGTCACCAAAAGGGAGCATGTAGATATTGAAGAGGAGAGGCCAAGGACAGAGTGGAGCGACTGAGAGGTAGGATCTGAACCACTCAAGGACAGAAGTGAGAGGAGAGGCGGTGAGGAGGATAGAGTGGTCAACATTATCGAAGGTAGCGGAGAGGTCAAGGAGGATGTGGAGACAGACAGAGCTCTAGTCAGAGATGGACAAAATGTCATTGGTCACTTTGACCAAAGTTGTATCTGTGCTGTGAGCAGCACAGAAACCCGATTGGAGGGGTTTGTGAGGGGAGTGGCGGGAGAGGAAGGAGTGAAGCTGGGAAGCAACGACTCATTCCAGGACCTTGGAAAGAGAGGTTGGAGATGGGGCGGTAATTTGAGAAACCCTGCATGTCGCAAAGTCTCAACTTTGCTGAATGTACAGAGGATTCCTTGCAGAACACACTGTTTACGTTGATGGTGCTTTTACTGGTCTAATCAGAGCCCTGTTTAGATGTCATTGACTCATTTGGGGGGGGAAATTATCTCAGGTATTAATTATTCTTAACCCCCCCTCCTTCCCATCCCACAACTCAAGTTAAACTAATGTAGATCAATTGAGCAGTGATTTGGCTGTATTATAAGCATTGAGGAGATGATGGAGTAAAGTTAGCACAGTGAGGCATCAGGGTTGGCATTATGGATTTCAGTTCATGTTCTTGGGAAAGTGGAAATGTGCCATATCTTAAAGATTCTCCTGCATTCTACCTTGTGTAACTTTGAACTGCCCAAAGTCTCCATTGGGTAAATGATATTATTAATTGTGAATGTACAAACCCTGATTGCTGCTATGACCTCCTAATTCTCACATGAATTTGGTTTTGTATCTTTTGCCTGCACAGCAGTTGTACAGAGAAACCCACCGAACAAGCACCTGCCAGCTCGAGGTGGGGCTCGTGAGAGGCCTGGAGTTATGACCTCAAGAACCCCGCAATCCCTTCATCCCTCGTGGGAAGCAAGTAAAAGACGAAAAGCTCAGGCCCAGATACAGGCATTCCAAGGAACAAAGATCAGATTTGATGATGATTAGTATTATAAAAACATTTGCAGAGTAGTAAAAGAATGTGTTGCATTTTTTTGTATATGAAAGACCACTTTACATCCATGTTAACAGTGTGCTAATGTGAATCTGATATTTAAATGACAATGGAATGTGTGCCCGCCCTCCCCTCCATACTTAGGTTCATTTAAATTGTAGAAGCCCTTTCATTCCCATTTTATTTATGATAGTTGGCTATTTTTCACAACCATTCCAAATCAAATCCTAAACCTTGATTGAAATTAACATTGAGTCACATTTGCAATCCATGTGATGATGATAATAATAATCCTTGCATTTGACATAGCGCCTTATCATGTCGTTGAGATGTCTCAACGAGCTTCATAAATTATACTGTGAAGTGAATTTACTGTGTATTTTGTGGCCAGGTAAGCGCATTTGGCATTTTACCACCAAAATGACTCCACTGACTGACTCTGTTTCAATGGTGAAGCTGGGTCTGTTAAGTGGAATATCAGTTCTTTGAGTATTTGGTTCACTTAAAATCCCACTATTTCGAAAACTAGCCATTAAAGCTTACAACTGCGAGTCAAGTACTTAATCAGTGAGCACGACAGGTGAGGGGAGCAGGTCCACCTGTGTCCTATTCAGTATGATAAAAATCACAAGGACAGCAAGTTTGATCCAAAGAGCTAAGTATGTCTTTATGATGGATGTTTATATAAAACATTTATATTTTTGAGACTGTAATTGTTCAATAAATATAAGTAGTGTATAAAAATGTAAACCTAGGGAAGCAAATGTTTCCATTCAGCTTTTTTGTTAAATGTTTCAATTATGATGCTTAGGTTTCACGGCAGCAGTAAAAATTAATCCATGTGATGGCCATTTCCTGCTTTATTTTCATGGATATTGTGAGGCATGAATTAGTCCCAAAACAGAAAGATCTTTTGAACCAGTTTGAATACTCAGATACTTTAATTTAATGATAAATACTTTAAAATGGTTGTTATAAAGCAGATTTACAGAACTGCCACCTAATAAAGAACATTTCTTCACTTGTTGTATTTTTTAACACATTTTGTAATATTGTTTCTATTGATATAGAAATAGCATTAATAATGGGATCTGCATCCAGTTTTAAATGCTGATTAACCTTGTCGGCCAAAAGGTTCAAGAAATTCCAAATTCAGCATTTTTTCTCCTGCCAATTTTCACAATTCCATCCCTCTCTTGAAGTGGTTTATTCCAATTTTGTTCTTCAACTGAGGGACGGTTCCCCAGCCAGCGGTTGGTTGTTTTCTCTCTATTAGCCAATATTTGTAGGCATGCATTGATAGTGAGTGTTGGAAGACTTTTGATGCATCATTGCCCCATTTCTCATCTCATGATTTAGAAATGATATCATCTAAACTGACGCTCCAGGGCAGTGCTGGGGGAGCCGTACTTTAGCTGAGACATTAAACAGAGGCCCATCTGCTTATCCAGGTTCATGTTAAAGATCTCATAGCCCAGTGACGGCTGATAACCTTTATGAATGGTGAGGCACACTTGCTTAGGCAATCTATGAGTTTGCCTAATCAAGCTCTCTTGTTACCATGGCAACGGGCTCTTCACACTCACACAAATTCTGGCCTCTCTCCTGCTGGCTTTGTTCCCCTCTCCGTCAGTCTCACCTGGTTCAGAAAGAAGGGAGTTTCTCCTGACCAACAATCCCCCCAAATAAAATTGGTCTTTCACTTTATGGCTGTTTGTGTGACATTGCTGTGTGCAAATTGGCTGCCACATTAATCCATAAATAAACAATCAGTGCACTTCAGAGCATGCTTGTAAACTGCTTTTGGGCGTTTTTGCTTCTGACATGAACAACAACAACAAGATTACATTTATATAGCGCCTTTCACGTCGGGAAGACGTCCCAAGGCACTGGACAGAGTACAGCATTTCAGACCCGAGCTGGGTTCAGGGGGGGGCGGAGGGGAAGGGGGGTGACCGATAGCATGGTCGAAGAGGAGGGTCTTGAGGCGGGACTTGAAAGAGGGGGCGAGGCGGAGTAACTGGGGGATGGAATTCCAGAGTTTGGGGGCGGAGTGGCTGAAGGCTCTCTCACCAAGTGTGGGGCAATAATGAAATGTGCAATAACAAATGTAAGGATTATTATTTTATTCAACATCCACACAAGCCTTCCCCAGGAATCACGGGTTCAAATGCCTCTAACCTGGGGGTGGCTGGGCCCAATGAAATCACCACTCGTGTCACTGCTGCTCACATCAGCTAATTCAGCAAGACCAGGGCTTAAACCTGGAACTTTATTGGTCTGTTTTGCTCAACTGCTCACTGCGTAAACTTGAACAATCAGAGGAATTGGCAGTATTTTTTATGTATTTTAAACTGCACAACGAGATGCTTCCAACAAATGCTAACATTAGAGTAAGAAGCTTTAAAAAGAACAGGAGCAGGGTCATTTTTTAAATAAATATTAAAAATAGAAAATGTTATAAACATTCTGTCAATTTTTTTTCCCCTTTCCCCATTTTTCTTTTTCTCACTATCCTAACATCCTACTGTATTTTAGAGATGATCCACATCTGGGATTTTTCAATCACTCCCGACTCAGGAATGTAAATGTTTAACTTTGGATGTAATTTTCAAGCATCAAGTGGAATACTACCGCTGGGCAACTTAACAGCTTGAGCAGAGAAATTGTGTACCAACAAGATAACACATCAGCAACATTTCAAAGATTGAATTATTATATTTAGCACATCTCTTAGCATCAGATATCAAATGTTTTCACTTTTGCTCTGTATTTATTTCTCTCCTGTCCAGTTCTTGCTCTGATTGACAGGAATGAAGAGTGCATTACTTGTAACTGGAAGCACGTGGTTGGAACAAGAACAATTTACATTTATATGGTGCCCCTCATGCAGGGTAGTGTCTCAGAGTGCTTTACAGTGGCGGAGTCTGACACCGAGCCAGGTGTAGGGGGGGTGACCGTAAGCACGGTCTAAGAGGAAGATTTTCAGGCGCGACCCTGGGGGAGAGTGTTCCAGTGTTTCGGGGCCTAGTGGCTGAAGGGTTAGCCGTCGATGGTGGAACGGAGCCAGTCGAGTGGATGCGATGGGTAGTGGATTGGGGAGTAAGCAGGTCGGAGAGATACAGAGATGTCAGGGCATGAAGGGAATGTGTTCACTACTGTAATAAAAATCTAGGTATGTTGAAAGGCTTTTTAAAAAAAAGAGCAAATACCATAATCAACTGGAGCTGTTGATTATGGCAATTGAACAAGTATTGAATAGCTACATGAAGATTGAAGAGCAAAGAGAAAGAGAATTAGAGTAGATAGGGGCTGTAGTAAAGCCACAAACAATTGGCCAAAGGTTTGATCACAATTGCAATAGCAATATATGCTAAGTCATAGCTTGAATAAAATTCATCCAATATAAATCAGGATATTCAAAACCAACCTGAGAAAACTATTTTTTTGTTGAATAGGTGGAGGAGGGAAATGTTCAATTTGTTACCATTATATTTTTTATTTCATACTAAAACAAAAGGATTCATCTTTCTAACATTGCCAGATTTAATAGTGGGTGAACTGACTATTGATCCACAATTGCACAGAAGAGTAGAAATTTACAGTGCATAAAGAGGCCATTCAGCCCATCGAGTGTGCACCGTATCTCAGAGCAAGGTGTTCTTTCTCACCAGTGTGCCTTATCCCCATCTTCTTCAATCCTCTTACTTTCATATAACTATCTACTTGCTTTTTGAAACCCATAATGGTTTCCTCTATCATCCCAACACCTATGAATAAAAAAAATTCTCTTAAGCCCCCTTTTCTTCCTTGTGATTATTTTATAACTATCTTATACATGTGTAACCCTAGTCACTGACTCTGCTACCAGTGAAATAATAGCTCCCTGTTTACCTTGTCAAAACCACTCATAATTTGGTACACCTCTATCAGGTCCCCTCTCAACTTCTCTGATGTTATGAAAAAGCGACTCAACTTCTCCAAAATGTTTTCATAACTATAACCCTTCAACCCTGATATCGTTCTTGTAAAACCTCCTCTGCACTCTCCAAGGTGTTAACATCTTGAAGTTAAGTACCCTAAAGATTTCAGGCTCAACATGTGGGAATCAGCAGCACAAGTGCTCCAAAGTATTGCACCTGGTGATATGTCGTCAACCAAAGTGACATAGTGGCATTTGTCAGAGAATCTAGTCATGCAACAAACGTCCATGGTGACTGCATGTTACAATCGCTCTGTGTGTTGTCCTGTGATTCATTCACTGTGGTTCAGACTGAAATGTAACCAAACTATTTATCCATTACTCACCAAATGAAAACTGAGGTCTGCACCTTGTATTCCGAGATAATCTTAATAGGCGTGGTAGAAACCACTGTGTGGTTTCAAATGAACTGGATGTTTTCTGGTCTTATTTACAAAAGTAAGAAAGTTGAAAACATTTTAATTCAAGTTGAGGTTAATTCAATTAATTGCTAAACTTTGCTGTCAACACCTGAATTTCTACTGAAGGGGGTCAATACATTAATGAAGGACATTTACATTTAAGGGGACATTAAGTGGGGTCTCCTTAAAGCTGAACTGACTCCATGCCTTGCAAAGAATGTCAGAATCGAGCCAGCCCTCAGTAGTCCGGTTCCTGAGCCAGGCGTCTGCATTATTCCAGGGCCCTGCTGATGACAGCACAGACAGCCTGGCTCATCGGCAGGATTTGGAAGGGCAGACTAGTCACTGGGGGCAGGGAGGAGTCCTACTCAGCTCTTGTTAACCCTGCAAGCCAAAGCCCTACGTGGTAGGGTGATCCTAGTTAGACAAGCAGCAGGAAAGCTTGACAGAGCAATATCAATTGCACGCTATGTGGTTTTAGTTGGTTAGACTTCAACGGTACCCCAACGTACACTCTGGGGTGTCCAAGCATTGGCTCTTGCCAACCTGCGATTGATGCTTTCCAAAATTAGATAAGCAGGATGCATTCCTCCAACAATCTTATCTCTGGGATTTCCATGTGTAGGTGGGACGCATGGAAATCTTAACTTGGTTTGGATACTCTTAAGCATAGTGATGGGTTTCCGCATGTGTCAGACACTCGGCTGTCCAAAATAAAAAGGGACACTTACAAAGCAATCTGAATGGATGGGTCACTTGTTTCTGCGAAAAGCCAAACCACAAAGCAAAGCATTGGAAGTTGAAAATATTTTTATTCAAGTTAAGGTCATCACATAATCTGTTAGATCTGATATAAGGCACATAACTCTGGATTATAAAAGTGCAATTACCATTACATATAATATCTATACAGTAACTACAAGCTTCAAGTACAGATACAATGATTTATAGAAATAAAAACTACCTGCAGCTAGAAGTTATGAAGAATTCAGTATGAAGCAGATACATGTGAAAAGCACCCAAATGGGATCCGTAAACGTAGTGGCATTTCACTTATTTTTAATTTATCGCTGAGTTGAGTTCCAGCAATAGCACTTTCTTTGCATTTTTCAATGAAACTTTTCTTTCAAGTTTCCAAGTAAAAGTAATGTCCTTTGTTTTAAGATACATATCAAGAAGGGACAATCTTTGGGAGAATAAAACCCTTGGCAATTAAAGTTGTTTCTTTTATTCATTTATTTGGTGCACAATCGAAACCATTTATTTTTGACTAGTCTAAAAAGTATGCATTCATGCCTGGGAAAGCCTTCCTATGGTGCAACATTTTCTTAACAGTATAGTAAATATAATTGTTAATGTTCTCTATACTTATTTCCTACCCACAACCCACGCCCTTCATATGTATTGTCTTCCACTCTGATCTTATTTCTTAAAATGGCTTTAGGGTTTTTGATAGATTTTAAAGCAAAGTCTTTGGTAGCATTGTTCTTGGGGGAAAAGTGGAAGAAATGAAAATGTAAATAATAACTAGACCACATAGTTAATGGGCAATGTACAAGTGGTCATTTTCTTCTGCCCTTCAAAGTGGTTTCTAGCCTTTGCTGGGTGCCACCAGAGACTAGGCGAAATCTGCATTGTTCATGCATGTGAAAAGATCCCAAATGATAGTCTATAATTTAGACAATACAAGTATTAAAGAGAACAATGCTCAGATTCCTGCTGTTAAACCCTGATTTAATTTGTAGTTGCATATAACAAAATATGTTGACTCATCCAGGTGTAGATTACCCACTTGTAATGTAAACCTATCACTGTATAAAAGATCAAGTGTTCTTTTGCATGTGATTCGAAGACTAGACTTTGAAACAACACTTGAAAAGAGACTGTTTTTCTGGGTACTAATGAATCTGTGGCCTACTCATTCCTTTGGTTCTGAAGATGTAGTATTGGTACTGATGTCTGTGCTGGTTTACTCCTGTCCAGGTCTCATAATGCAAAGTAACTTGTTGGTCTTTGTGTGATGCTCACATACAATAATTGAGGTAACCTCAATCATTATATGTAAGCCTCCTTCACCCACATATATATTTGTGCTGCGTATTGCATTAGGTCATCCTTTTCAAATGATGGCGACTGGTTTCAGTTGCACATATTGCAGCTTTGTTTGTGTCTATGTGTTATTTACAGTATTTTAAAGAGAGGGGATCAGCTTCAGGGGATCAGCTTACTAATTTAGGCGGAGTGTTATTGCATTTGTTTTGACGAGAAACTGGATGATTTGCATGACTCACTTTTATTGACATATTTCAGATGTTCACAGTGATCCAATACCTTCAACAATAGATCTCTATAATTGCATCCTCCCAACTGAAATAAAACTCTGCTTTGGAATTAGACCTATACTGAGAGAAGATAAAGTAAACAAACTCATTGCTTCAGACCATACACTGGATGCAATAGAATGGCAGTTTGCTGACACTTCTAAATAGCTTTCCCAACATAATAGGTGCCAAAATGTCTTTGATCTCCTGTGTGTAGGTATAACCCTTGTGCTCTAATGACAACCTTGACTGTGAATGAAGGAGAGCATGTCAGTTTTGGATGGTGGTTTAGGTCATTGTGAAATTGAACTCTCAAATCTTTCGCTCTGATGGTTCAAAACAGTTTTTGCTGTTACTCTTTTACATTTATTTCTATAATTACTTTTAATCATAAAATATATAGGAAAACAGTAATCAGCGATACCAATGAGGTTTTTTTTAAAAAGACTCTTCCAAAAACTCATCTGACCCAAAACATTAACACCCACTCTTAAAAATAGTAGAATTTTTTAAAATCTAGTTTCTTGTACGGTATTCTAGATTTGAATCTTCATTTTCCATTCTTTGTTTTATGAGATCATCTTTAATATGTGCTTTTATTAGCATTAAATAAAAGTTCCAATTGGATATGTTTTGTCTTTTAATAGGTAGGTGTATTCAGTGAGCAACACATCGCATTAAATGTTCAAAATAATAATAATTACATCAACTTAACATTTTATATCCATTGTAGTTAAAACATTTTACACATTGCTTGATGTTAAAAGTAAATTTACTACTCTTTCTGAAGGAAACTTTTACGACTGTGGAATATCTACAGTTACAGAACTGAAATATCCATCCAGTCATTGGCTTTAGAATTGGAAGAGGAAGAGGTGTTTCAACATTAAAATGCTAAATTCATATTTACATAGACTGATATAATAGATTAATGATCAAAATTCTGAACTTAGAAATAATTGTGGATTTGTATTTCTGTAGGTCTATACCATAAAAGAAGAAAGTATTTTTGGTGAAGCGCCTTTAAACATTTATTCCACAGGAATAAATTGTACACCAGCCATTGGGGCAATGAGAGGCCAAGGCAATGGGATATTCTTTTGGGGGGATGGGGAGGGTGAATAAGGAGGGGAGCAAACATACTGTTGTCAAATGTACAAAAAAATGTATCCTGAATAGCTGAATGTAATGTCTGTTTGGGATCAAACAGGCACACAGAAGCAAATCAACGGGATCCCTGCTGATGATGTGTGTTGCAGCAAAAGCAAATCAGTATCTCTATGGTTTCATGAATGTGCAAATACACAATGACAAAGGGAAATAATTCCTCATTTTTCAACTTGTGTCATATTATCATATTATATGCATGGGAATAGGCAGACATTCTTCCTGTGGCAAATAAGGGATTTGTTGTTTTGAAGAAAAGCAACTAATGTAACAGACCTGGATCACTGCTAAATGTAAACACGGTATTCATTATAACCACATGCCATTTTTAACTCATCCATCAATAACACTAACCTGCTCCTATCTTTGCTTATCATAGTGATCATCTAGTTTGACTACTAAGGTGCATCTAAGACAGAAGACAGGATTGATAGAGCTGAATGAGTTAGAAATAGTCATGTGCTTAATACATTTAAAATGAACATGTCGATCACAACAGGTTACATATAGTCTAACCACTCCAGACCTTTCCTAACTCAGTCACCACTCAATACCATTTGCAGTCCTTGGTCATAGAACGTAGAGTGGATATCAACTGGAGAGAGTGTCGTTGCAATGGCTACGAGTAGTGAAAGAGTGAAAAAGTTGGTTCCACTTCAATAATGCTGCTGGGCGCCAGGAGGCCCCAAATACAGTGTTATAGGTTGTAAGGTAGAAAAACGTTCTCCAATTTCAATCTCTGCAAATTATACCTGCTCAGCAGTTTAGGGTTGTTCAAATGTAAGTGATGATGGGTCGGGACGCTGAAGCTTGACAATATCTTGGAACTTGTTGGAAATAGTATTGATTCAATCCAGTCTTTGACATAACATCCTTGTCTTTTGGTTTACTAGTATCTGAAAAGGAATTAAGTTATGGATTCATATTAATTTCATCCTGATTAAGTGTAGTGCATTCGGTTATAACAAATTTATTTACTATAAAATTCAAAACTACGAGCAGAAAGCCGGCCGGCTGTTTGCAGCTCATAAATGGCTATCGTTAGGATGACACCAACATAGCTTCCTCCTGCGCACAGGAAGTGACATTGGTACCAACCTGATGACTGGAAATCGGCCCTTTTTAGCACGCAAAACAAGGCTGAATATTTAAAGTGAATTGCCTTTTGCATGAATGTACAGTGAATGCAAACACACTGACTGTGAGATGTGCTCCACTGTAATGCCATTTGGGATTTTATGGGTTACAACTACTGCACTATAATTGGGCTGTACTGTATTTCTGCAGAAGCTCAAGGTTTTGAAAATACAATGACGGAAAAAAAGTACTAGCTCGCAGTTGACATTCAGACTAATCCTCCCTAAATCCATTATTTCTCTGGAAGGAGTATTTAAAGCATCTCAAAGCGCTTCCCAAACCATAACAATTCATCTTGTGGAAGACCACAAGATGAGCTATTGCACTGCAGTGCTCTTTCATGGGAAGATAAATCCCAAAACAGGCCAATTAACAGAAACAGAGTGCTCATGTTGTTTACTATAGAGCAGTACTAATAGTCACTGGAAAAGTATACAGCTCAGACCATGCCACTAGCCAGGCTCCAAAAGGTAACCCAATAAAGAAAGAATTGACACTGAAGTTAGTTAGTCAGTTTTGAAGGTACAGAGTGTGTCTGGAATTCCCTTCTTATAATTGTAGTAAAATTGAACATTCAGTAAAAGTGGCCCCTCAAATAGTATGATCCCATGTCAAGCGCTGGGATGTTGCTTCCAGCAAAAAAGTGAGTTATAGTGGAAAGCCTGATTTATACTTCCTGTTCCAACATTACAATGGCCAGAGGCTGAGGAGATCTCTGTATGCACAACTAAACACATGCTCAGAAAACTTACTAATAATTAATGTTTTTAACCACAACTGGCTTTTTATCAGTATTTAAATTAGACTCTTAAAGTTTCTCAGACAAGGTTAAGTTTGTTGCATGTCTTGCATTTGTACTAACTACAGTGATGTGAATTGATTTGCTGATGAATCTCCCTCTTTCAAGTGGAACATCCATCTAAAACAGGATTTGTACTGGGTTTTAATTCCCATGGCCAAGGCCAAAGGAAAATTGTGGAAATATCTGCCAAAAATGTTGGGGAAATTTGATAAATTTTGCGGGAAAATGTGGGGAAATTTTGACAAATTTTTGCGGAAACTTTGCAGGTGGTTGATTGGTGTTATTTAGGTATATTTTACTGTCAACCTACATTTTTTCACTTTATTGATAAAAACTAAACATGAAGAAATAACACATATTAGATTGTTGTATTCCAAAGGCCCGAATGGCCCATTTCCACCCAGCATTACATTTGAAAGCCTGGAGATCCTCCAAAAACCAGCATTGCTCGCCAAGCTCGCCAGTGAACTGACTGCAGGGCTGCAGGAAGTCACCACCTCCTTCCTCTAGGGACCCCCCACCACACACAGAGATCCAGAGAGAGAGACACACATTCAGACACACAGAAATAGAGAGACACATACAGACACACACTCACAGACACAGAAACACACACATACAGAGAGAGACGCTCATAAACACACTCACACATACAGAGGAGAGATATACACATACAATCTCAACAGCGAGGCCTCTGGCTGAGTAAAGCCCATTTCCTATTCGTGCCATACCACGCGCACGCATTCCAGAGCCGCTCCTCCACAGTAGTGTTGAGTAAACAGGCACCGAGGAAACTTCATTTTTACAGGATTTTGGTGGAGGGTGTTGTTTATAGCGGATTCCGCAGAAAAATTGCAGCCACACTTTTCTATTGACCCAGCCCATGACACATTTTGTCATAAATAAATCCCAAAACGCACAGTATAGGAATTAGGCATTAGGAATATCTGTTGACCCACATCACGCACTGGGTTATCTCCACAACAGCATATTCCCACAATTCAATTAACCTTCACAAATATATAATAATAATCCTTGAATTTGATATAGCACCTGGGTCAGGAGGATATCCCAATGTGACTCATAGGAATTAGTGTGAAATGGCCCAACGTTTGTAGGCAAACATGCACGTCCAAATGCGCACAGCAATGTCCCACAAACAGCCATAAATGAATGACCAATTTTATTCAGAGCATTGCTGGCCAGGACAAAGTGAGACAACATCACTGGGGGTAATATCTATATTGATAAAGGTTCTGAGAAGTCTCAAAACTTTCTTTGTGCAATATCTATACAGCAAATGGAGCATGATAAACATAAGCCATCTTCTAAAGGATATTTGATGCTTCAAACTGCTCAGGTTAGCTGTGATGCTTTGAAATGGTGCAGACAATGATGGGGTCTACTTTGTGATATTCGTAAACTGCAGTGGGGAGGGGGGATTCCCCCTGTGTCTGGGCATAGATTTTTTTTAAGAGCATGTAAATTTTCAGCAAAGCATCTTTTAATTCAGTCTTTTTAAAGCTGCTTTTGTGGAGGGAACTAGAGAAAACAGCTTCAAATTTAAGGCTGAATTTCAGAATTAACTGAAATTTGCACACTCTAAAGTGCTACGAAAGGAGTCTAACTCTAAACCCAGGTGGAATTCCTGCCCCGAGATTTGATGCACTAACTCAAATTTCACTTTGCAGATTTTGAAAGTTGTTTTTATGAATATCGATAAAATGGATAATTTTGCCATTTCCGAAAGCCAGAAAAGTGTGAGAAAACACTAAAGAGTGAAACTACTGTTTTGTTTACCTATAAAAAGAGTAAACAATTCTCTGAGAGGTTCTCTTATGTGAAAGGTGCTACATAAATTGTAGGTTGTTATTGTAGTTGTAATTATTTGTGAAGCGCTCTCTCCTGTTAAACCATTTCATCATACCAAACCTCCATAAAAATACAAGTTCTTTGTCTTTTAACTGACCCAAGGTTACGCACAAACTACAATTGAGTATTCTTGATAGTTCAGTGAAATCACTGAATGAAAAAACCTCAGAAATACCTTTGAAATACTAACCAGCTGCATGCTTTTTGTTTGAACAACAAATAAATTTATCATCAAGAAATCTATAAACTTTTAAGGAGCAGTAAAATTTGTTTGAAGTATTTTCAACTAGATATAGAATTCCTTCTCTGTAGCAAATGATGCTTGCTGTATTGTCAAACCTTGATCTGTATCCTTTTGCACTTGGCTGCTCCAATGATATTGGCTATGGGAGAAACTGCTCCATTGAGTTAAGCAGAGTCAAGCATTTTGGATCAATCTCAGAGCCAATTAACAACAACAACAAATTGCATTCATAGAGTTCCTTTTCACATCAGGATTTAATTAATCACTTAATTAACTTTAAATCAATTAACTTTAGGAATTCTCAGTACTGCTGAGTGTACAACCACACCCAACCAACAACAAATTACATTTGTATGGCGCATTTCATGTTGGGAGGATGGCCCAAAGCAATGGACCTTCTGGGGGTTGAGGTAAGCTCCAGATCAGCACCAAGTTCAGTTTAAAGCACCCAACCATCCCATTAAACTTAATACCATTGCTGGATGGCACACTTGGTTTCATAACATAATTAACCAAAGCCATTTCATACAGGAGAAGTCCCAGGAACTGTATTAAAGCAAGGTTTCATCACAACTGAATGAGCAAAGTTTTAAAATTTATTTTGTTTATTTTGAATGCAAAAAGTAGTTTTCTTTCAACATTTAAGACAGAGAATTCATCAATAATATCAATAAAATACTATTAGTAAACACAACTAAGCTTTAAGACATTTCTTAATCAGCACCTCTCGCTAAATTCCAGTGTGCCAAAGCAAAATCCATAATTCTGTGTCAGTTTAGCTCATGTAGATAAAAGAGATTTGGTTGGGTACACAATTGCAGAAATCATATAGGAATGAATTAAACTGAAGCACTTACTGTGAAATTCTGCAGCCTGAGGTATACACATGTTGTCCTGTATAGCGAATGTCACAGCGAACAACGTTATTAGCATAGTCTGATTCTGGTACTAGATAGCTTGGATTTACTGAAACCTGTAGAGTGAGGGACACATGGATCAATAAAACTTACCCTAAAGCGGTTTTCCCTCAATTATTTGAAAGCTGTTTGCATCACTTACTTTCAGTATGTAGTTTCCTGGTTTAACATCAGTTATATCAATCCACTGGCAGTCAATGTCAGCATTATAGGTATCATAGCACCCTGGACTCAACCCCTATATGCAATAGATTAGGCAGAGTTAGATATGTAAATCTGTGCTTCGTTCTACTAATGGAATCAAGAACAACTTGCATTTATATAGTGCCCCCCATGCAGGGTAATGTACCAGAGGGCTTAGATTCATAAATAACTTATGTATTGGACATTTCATATTTTTTTGATAAAAATGCAGTGCTGTCCCTAAAGGCATAAAAATATTTTGCAAAGTCCTACAATTTGAATGTGCCTCATTATAACAAGCGTTAATGTAGAGATATAGTTATCTACAAAAAACCATTTGAACAACTTAGAATACATAGATTGTAAACAACCAGAGGAATCAGTTGCTTTTCTTGTCTTGCTCGCTGAGACTACAATGGAATATTTTTACAGACATGTGGCTTTAGAAAGAGCTATTCGCAAAACAAAACACTGCATTATATTTACTAACTCACTCACAATATCTTCCCTATTTTTATGTTGTGGCTCTGGTCTGTAGACAATGGGTATCAGACTCAGTGATTTACAAGTTAGCCGGTACTCAACAGCTGTGGTGCAAGACATCCAATAAATGTAGGGTGTCATAATCATTACAATAGTTTAAGTACTTAACTGTAATGCCACAATCTGAAGAACTCAGCACATATATTAGCCATAATTTCTCACCTCAGCTGAACTAATTATAGGAATCTCAAACTCAGCACAAACTAAATCTTCCAAATTATTTTGGCCTAAACTTTGTGCCAATAAATATAAAGAACCATCAGAATGTTGGAGGGGTTGCCTTTCACATGAGACATTAAACTGAGGCCTTGCCTGCATGTTTTCAAGGAGATGTTAAAAATCCCATAACATTACTGAAAAAGAGAAGGGAGGTTCTCCAATGTCTTGGCCAACAATCTTCCAAATGAACTAGTCATTTGTCTCACAGCGTGAATAGTGCTTTGAGAATTTTGATAGGCAAATAAAGATGAAAATTCTTTTTCACAAAATAGTTTATGTTTCAAAACTTAAAAATAGCACAAAAAGGGCCAAGAAAAAGTAACAACACATTATACCACTCATCTATGCTATATATAATATGTGCCACTCCTAAACCCAGGCAAGCTAACAGCTACAATTCTGTTAGTCTTTAGTGATATATTCATTCACAGAGATTGTCTGGGTGCTACATAATCTGTTCTTCCTTAACTTTAAGCATACCTGTGAATGTGCTGTGCAGGCATATCTTCTATAGTACCCATATTCACAAGAGGTATCCTCCAGGCAAAAACTAGCTTTGTGTCCTTCAGCAATTTGTCTCTGGGTGGTGGGATCCAGTAGATCATAATGACTAAATTCATCCATACTATGGTAGTGCCTGTAATAAAAGTTTTAGATACTTGCTATTATCCCAACACAAATAATCACTGCTATTTGATAAAACTGCCCCTTGTGATTTTGTGCAAGTAACTAAAGTACAATATATCTTAATATACATGAGAGAAAGTAGTTACAACTTAAAGTGGTATAATGACTTTTACTGAGAATTCCATACATCCCACCTACACGTGGAAATTCCAGAGATAGATAGTTGGAATGGAATGCACACTCTCTCCCTGGAGGGACATATCCTGCTTACCTAATTCTGGAAAGTATTAGGCAAAGGTCGGTAAGAACCCAAGGTTTGGGGATCCTAAAATCTGCGTTGGGATATTGCTGGAGTCTAAAAACACTTAGCTTGTCATTGACAGCACTGCCTGAAAGCTTCCCCAATACTTTTCCTACTACGACTACTCTACCCAATAGGGCTTTGGCTTACATGGTTAACAGGTGCTGAATGAAAGGATTCCCTGCCCCCAGTGACCAGTCTACCTTTCCCTGCTGGTGAACCAGGCTGGTTCTGCTGTCATCAGCAGTGCCCTGGAACACCTTGGACCTGCCTGGCTCAGGAACTGGTCTATGATGATTGCCACTGTGGGTGGTCTTGATTCTAACATTCACCTTGGAGCCATTTCAGCTCCAAGGAAATCCCGCTTATCTCTCCCCCCAGAAGTCATTAGTTGGTCATTTGACATCCAACAATCACAGGTTAGAGCCCTCACTAGATGAATGGCAGATACCAGGAACACCCTGCGAGCTTCCTGATGGGCAACACAGCTCAGCATGAAATGTTTCAGAACATTGCCAACAACTTGCTGTCCACTGCTAATGATTACTTGGAGATTAGAGGGCCCTACAATGGAATAATAGAATCTTATTTAGTAATGTATCTCCACACTTGAGATATAATAAACAGAGTAAATTGTAGTGTTTCCAATTAGGTTGTGGAGGATTCTGTACAATACAGTGAATCAGTTAACACATCATTATAAAATATCCAGTATATTTACTAAAAGCATTGTATCCTCAATGTCCTTTAAACATTGTGCCCAGTGTTGGTACAATACAATTTACATTTATATAGAGCGTTTCACGTCTCAAAGCAAGGGGAGGATGTTTCAAAGTGCTTGACACTGCTGTTTGGTACCTGAGCTGGGGGTGAGAGCTGAAGGGGTTGGGAAGGAAAAGGTTGACCGAAAGCACAGTCAAAAAGTTACAGCTTGAGATAGACCTTGAATGAGGGGACGGAGCAAGTCGGAGGGACTCCGGGATGGAGTTTCAAATTTATATCTTCAGATGTCATTATAACCTAGAGGTTAAAACCATTGGGACTGATTAGAGCAATGTGGTAGCACATTTGAGAACATCTGTACGATGCAATACAGCAATGCAATGCTTATAGAGTTCCCTTGAGGCTGCTGAGTTCCTAACTGCAGCCTGGCTGCTATAAGGAAATACTGAGTGGAATCCAAGCACCTTCCCTTAGGAAAAAAGTGAAGCTTGGACGGATTGTAGTCTCAAAGCCATTTTTGGGTCCAACAGCTGGTTCAGAGCCATCTTGGCTGTAGTTAAGAGTGTGGCTCAGGAGGACCAAGGATTAGAGAGAATTGAGGATGCCTCAAACCAATATGATCAATTGGGTTGTCAAATATTCAATAATTAGATTCTTTTTGTTTATTATTGCCAAATAATTCCATTCTTCGCTAGACCAATAAAATACTTCAGTATATGACTGATAATATTCTTTCCACAACTGGTGCCAACTAGAAAACTATCCAAAAAACTATTGGCAAGATTTAAGTGGTTAAAGTTTTATTACAAAACAATTAGTTTCTCAGCATTCCCACACATGGAATGTTTTATATGCTGATTAAATATTTAGGAAATATTAAGAAAGGTATTTTTTTTCCTTAGGAGACTTTTCTTTCAAATCAGTATATATAGAATAGCTGTGCCACGAAAGTACATCCCAGTCTAAAATAAATTGCAGACCACATAAACATCAGCAATTTGTTGTCCAACCTGCTTACCATAAAAGTCTTGCTTACTGTAAAAGTCCCTTTAGCAACCATTAAAAATCTAATTTACACCATTGCACTGGTAGTTTGTGATAACCAATCAAAATAAATAATAAGAGCGCATTGATAATCAGAGTTAAATTGAAGTTAATACCTTGGTCAATATTCATTAAATATCTCGTTTTCATTATCAAGGAGCCACGGTAACAACTAAGATATTAAATTGGTGAATACTGGAAAATCCAGCAAGCTAATAATTGCAACTTATGTATATCTATCTATATGTATCTCTCTCTCTCTTTATGGTTCTCGTTCTCAGTTTCTTTCTGTAGATGTCTGGGTTTTTCTGTGTTTTTTTATTTATTTTGCTTTCCAGTTGGATCTCTAGGTAGTGAAAAACGATCAGCAAAAACAAACATTGGCAATTGCCATGCTGCTGTGAAAGTACTAAACAAATGTTAGCAATTTCACAAGCGCAGTAAAGATAGAAATGTAGGGAAATGTGATTTATCATCATTTTCTTTTACTAATAGCAAATAGTAATGTGAATACTTGATTTCATTGATATGGCTGAATGCCTAGTGCAGAGTCTTTTCACATACTCATTCGCTCATTCATCACACATTTTTACAGTTAACTTGAGGCTCAATTGGAGAAAGAGACAAACAGATGGAGTATCAGGAAATTACAGTGGCTCCTTCATATACAACTACCGAAAGAAGTAAAGGATTCAGGAGAGGTAATGTTGTATTTAGTGTTGCTTGGAGTAAAGTTTTACTTTGTTACAAGAGTTTAGCAATCCAATGAGGATGCCATATGGGAACTGGATTTTAGCTTTAAGTTAGTTTTGGATGTTCTTTGTGAGAACACCCTGCAAACAGGAATACGAAAAAGATCCCTTTGGGAAACATTTTCAGCACAAAATTAGGTCAATCAGTCCTTGATGTGTGTGGCACTGAGACCTGCATATATTTGAATTGTCCTTTTCATTCAAAATAAGTGGAAACAATAGCATTTGATTTTCTGGCTGATTTTGATCAAGTCGATGACATTAATGAAGGACTCAAGACTATTACTTTGCTTGGCAAAGTATGTTGGATACTCCACCAGGTGAGTTCAATTCTTGCAGTTCTGAATCTGGACTGACACTGACTGCTTGGCTTTCCCAGACACAGTCTCAGCACTGTCAGCCCGGGGGGGGGGGGGGATTCTGGTCAGAAGGAGTCACTTTTCACACCCTTCCTTCTGCATGATCTCCTGAGGTAGGATCAACAAAATAGTAGCGAAGGATGTTAGCACGTTTCATTCCTTGTATCCACGCTAACATCCTTTACCACTGCTCTGCTGATCCCGTGGGAGGTAATAAACAACAAAATAGCGAGGAGAAAGAAGGGGAAACGATAATACGAATGCATTTCCAATATGTAAGCAAGGCAAGGAGAGCATTGCAAAATAAATGACCCTCGAGAAATCCACGTGAATGGCATTATGACTTGCAGATTGCGAGCTTGTCTTACCGATGACAGCTGTGCCATTCCCAGGAGTATCGGGGTCTGCTCGGTAAGAAGTCGGCTGTGCCCTGGTTCTTCACCCTCTGGGGGAATCTCAGCAACACACGCATATCGTAGTCTCTCACGTCCTGTGAGTAAGCCGAACTGCGACCCAAAGTTAGGGAAGAAACTGTATGGTTATCAGCCATTTGTCACTCTATGCAACACCCCCCCCCCCCCCCCCCCCCCACACACACACACACAGTGAATCCAGTACCACAGATTTTTCCCCCCTTTAAAATGTTTCAGGTCAAAAACTTAGGCAACTGATCTCTGATCCCAATCCATGTCAAACTGGAAGCCAACTGCAAGGGAACACAACACCACCGTGCGGAGATGCCACGTTCACAAGTCATTTCGCTTTGTTTTCTTAAACAAAAAAACCTCCAGTATTTCTGTTTTAAGTTAATATTTCAAGGACCCCACACACTAATCAACAGTCCTGCTTTCTCCTCTATTGAGCACCAGAAACCAAGATTGTTTTTAAGTAAAAGATATAAATGTATTAATTCTCACGCTTTACTCTATGAAAATGCAATGGGGGGGGGGGAGGGGGGTGGGGGGTCAATAACATATGAAGGAGAAAAGCACACACACTGGTCTGAAGATGAATCACTAATCTCTCTCGGCTCAGGCAAACTCAGGCATATAATTGCTCTGAGTTCATCCCACAAACTAACTTCACCGGTGCAACTGCAGCTGAAATGTCAAGAGAACTGTCGATGCTGCGGTGACACACGAGAAAAACACCGCACCGAGGAGGCGATTGACTGCTTTACCATCTGCGGAGACTGCGAGGGGGCGATGGTCAGTTATTGCAAACCAACGAGAGAGAGTAAAGAGAACCAGTGGAGAACGTGTAGTGAGTGCTTTGCGGGAATGAACTGCGCGGTGCGTAATTCCGCAGACTGTACCTCGCCAAGCAGTTCTCCTCTGCCGCACACCTCAGGTTGTACATGTGCATCTTCTGAACATACGTGGAAGCCTGAAGGTAATACGGGTCAGGCACTAAGTCTGGCAAACCTGCAGGTCCGGGGGGTCGGGGGGGGGGGGGGGGGGGGGGGGGGGGGGGGGGGGGGGGGGGGGGGGGGGGGGGGGGGGGGGGGGGGGGGGGGGGGGGTGGGGGGGGGGGTCGGGGGGTGAAAACACAAACTTAGCACCGGCTTAAACACCGAGACACAAGCGGCTGAGATTCACAGGAGCCTCGGGCTCCTTCCATTCAATAAACCGTGTTCACACCCAATCCTCTACCCCCCCACTCCCCCCCCCCCCACTCCCCCCCCCACCCCACCCCACTCCCCCCCCCACCCCCACTCCCCCACCCCCCACCCCACCCCACACCCACTCCCCCACCCCACCCCCACCCCCACTCCCCCACCCCCCACTCCCCACCCCCACTCCCCCCGCCTTAAAACAGCAAATGGCATTTTTCTTTATGAAGAGCCCGGCACCTCCACTTACCCACTTACCCCACTTACCCCCCCTTACCCCCCTTACCCCCCCCACTTACCCCCCTTACCCCAGTTACCCCCCCTTACCCCAGTTACCCCCCTTACCCCAGTTACCCCCACCCCAGTTACCCCCCTTACCCCAGTTACCCCCCTTACCCCAGTTACCCCAGTTACCCCCCTTACCCCAGTTACCCCCCTTACCCCAGTTACCCCCTTACCCCAGTTTACCCCAGTTACCCCCCTTACCCCAGTTACCCCCCTTACCCCAGTTACCCCCTTACCCCAGTTACCCCCCTTACCCCAGTTACCCCCTTACCCCCCTTACCCCCCTACCCCTTACCCCACTTACCCCCCTTACCCCCCCCAGTTACCCCCCTTACCCCAGTTACCCCCCTTACCCCAGTTACCCCCCTTACCCCAGTTACCCCCCTTACCCCAGTTACCCCCCTTACCCCAGTTACCCCCCCCCTTACCCCCTACCCCCCCCCCCCCCCCCCCCCACCCCCCTACCCCCCCTTACCCCAGTACCCCCCCCCCCCCCCCCCCCCCCCCCCCCCCCCCCCCCCCCCACCCCCAACCCCCCTTACCCCAGTACCCCCCCCCCCCCCCTACCCCAGCCCCCCACCCCACTTACCCCACTTACCCCGACCCCCCTTACCCCAGTTACCCCCTTACCCCACTTACCCCACTTACCCCAGTTACCCCCTTACCCCACTTACCCCAGTTACCCCCCTTACCCCAGTTACCCCCTTACCCACTTACCCCAGTTACCCCCCTTACCCCACTTACCCCAGTTACCCCCCTTACCCCAGTTACCCCAGTTACCCCACTTACCCCAGTTACCCCCTTACCCCACTTACCCCAGTTACCCCCCTTACCCCACTTACCCCAGTTACCCCCCTTACCCCACTTACCCCAGTTACCCCCCTTACCCCCCTTACCCCAGTTACCCCCCTACCCCACTTACCCCAGTTACCCCACTTACCCCAGTTACCCCCCTTACCCCAGTTACCCCCCTTACCCCACTTACCCAGTTACCCCCCTTACCCCCCTACCCCAGTTACCCCCCTTACCCCACTTACCCCAGTTACCCCCCTACCCCACTTACCCCAGTTACCCCCCTTACCCCAGTTACCCCCCTTACCCCACTTACCCCAGTTACCCCAGTTACCCCCCTTACCCCAGTTACCCCCTTTACCCCCCTTACCCCAGTTACCCCCCTTACCCCAGTTACCCCAGTTACCCCCCTTACCCCAGTTACCCCCTTACCCCACTTACCCCAGTTACCCCCCTTACCCCAGTTACCCCCTTACCCCAGTTACCCCAGTTACCCCCCTTACCCCAGTTACCCCCCTTACCCCACTTACCGTGCTGAAAGTACCTGGTGCCGTACCCGGGTCTGCGGGGTTGCGCTCGGGGTCTCTCGTACGTGTCGTAGTAGTTGTAGTAGGGGTTGTTGTCAGTTCGCTTGTAGGGGTTGTACGGGTCGTCCCCCGCCATGGGCTCCTCGGGGCGGCCGTGGCCGTGGCCGTGGCCGTGCTCCCCCTCCCGGGCCGGGCCGCCCTCCCCCCGCCGAGCCCCGCCGGCGGCCGCAGCCCGAGCCCCGGACGCCCTGACGGGCTGTGCGCTGCGCGGCCCCGGGACGGTGCTGCCGCTGCTGCCGCTGCTCGGGCGGGGCCGCCGCCGGGAGCTGCCGGACGGCCGAGCCCGGGAGGCGGCGGGCGGTGCGGGGCCGCCCCGGGCACCGCTGGCTCTCTGGCCGGTGCCTGTGCTGTTGGTGTCGCTCAGCAGGAAGAGGCTCCCGGTGCCGGTGCCGCTGCCGCTCGGGCTCTGGGGCGTCTGGTATTTGGAGCCGAGACTCAGTAAACTGTAAACGCGTCCGTTGTTTTCCCACTGAATCCGCTGTCGCCAAACGGCCTTCTTGTCCTCCTCCTCCGCCGCCGCCTTCTCCTCCTCCTCCTCCCGCTGCCGCTGCTGCTGTCCTCTCACCTCGTACAGCAGACAACTCACATACAGCCCAAACACCTGCACTAACCACAGGACACTCACACTCTTCATCTTCATCCTCTCTCTCTCTCTCTCTCTCTCTCCCGGAGGGACCAACAGATAATAATAATAATAATTGTTATTATTATTTTGTTAATATTAACGATGAAGGTGGGAAAATGTGCAATGAATGAGCTTTAGAGGATACTAAGGGGGGCACTGGGGGAGGGGGGGGGGGGGGGGTTACAAAATAAAAGCCAATGTGGGTTTCAGTCCCCAATGCAATATTTGCATTTGGGAAGTCAATGCAGTTCTTAAAGGCGTGTGAGTGAGTGTGAGTGAGTGTGTGAGTGTGAGAGTGAGTGTGTGAGTGAGTGTGAGTGTGTGAGTGAGTGAGAGTGAGTCAGAGTGTGAGTGAGAGTGAGTGTGTGAGTGAGTGTGTGTGAGTGAGTGAGTGTGAGTGAGTGAGTGAGTGTGAGTAAGTGAGTGAGTGAGTGTGAGTATGTGCTGGTAGTGCTGGTACTGGATGGACTGGACTGGACTGTGCGGCAAAGCGTTCAGACTCCGCTCTGCCCCGGGTTGCAGCTGTACGCAGTGCCTCTCATATTCCCGGTGCTGTGTGTCTGTCTGTGTGCCGTTGGGGCAGGAGAGGGGGATTTAAAGTTGTTGGCACTTTTGCAGTTACACAACCTGCTCCCAGGCTCCTCGCTATTTGCTCACGTAATGCCTAGAAACGTGCACTTTGACAGTTCCTCTCCATTCCTCTCTCCCTCCCTCCCTCCCTCCCTCCCCCCTTCCCCCTTCCCCCCCTCCACTCTTCCTCCCACTTCAGTCGATACGCAGGAATTTCGTGGCCCCAGACACCATCCGTTAGCTGTGCGGCTCTCCAGCCAAACCCGAGGCTGTGCCAAAGTATGCAACACACACACACACACACATACAATTAGATCATCGTGAGGAGCTGCTCGCCGACCCCAAGGCTAACTCCTCACTGACAACACATGGCGCGGAGGTTTGAAGGGGTTTACAGTGGCGCCTCGGGGGTGGCGGGGACTGAGGTTTGGATCACTGTCTGCGTTACGGTGCCTTTGGCCATCAGAGAGCAGGAGAGGCACCAGGAGGACAGGAGCGACTGCAAACAGCCCGTGTCGTGTGTGTGTGTGTGTGTGTGTGTCAGCTTCTGCCTTACGTGCATTCATTCACCTGCATCCTAAATAAATCCAGTAGCTCTTTACGCGAGATCTCTTCGGGTTTCTCCAAAGATTGCTTTTTATTTTTTTGCAACGGGGATTCCTCATTTGACATATCCCCGCTCTTTCCTTGACCATCGCCGAACCCCCGTTGCAAACAGCTGGTCATCGCTGCCTTCACTTGTGTTGACTTGTGGACTGGGTTTAGTGATGAATCCGAGGGGTTGCTTTGTGCAAAGCGATGCCATCTGATCGTTTCAAGTGCAAAGTGTATTAAAAACTCGAGCCCTGGGATTTTTGGTGTTTTTTGTTTTTTTTTAAAAAAAAGACTGCACTTTTAGGAAAACGTTGGTTGGAAGTAACTACGACCTGTTATAGTTTGGGGTGTGGGGAGGGGGGGAGGGTAGAGAAATCTGCAGGATGGGATCTGAAGCCAACAGAGCGACCACCCATCAGCCTCGATTAACGTCTCACCACTGCAGATGTTAGCAAAGGCTTATAAACTAAACGCTCGGGGTTGCATTTCTATTTATTAAGAAAATCAATCCAATCATTCCTCAACGTGGAGTGAACCAGAATTGGATTCTCTTTTGTTGTTGTTGTTGTTGTTTAAAACAGCGAATTCTCATATGTGCGGTGAAAAAAAAAGAAACACCCGACAGTTTTGTCATCTTTTTATTCATATTTTAACTTTGTTTTTTGCAAATATTAGATGGGGGCGACGAAAGTGTCTGAATGCTCTCCGCCACTTGGCTTTTATTTGAGCAGTTCGCCTGTTGTTGAAGGGAGTGCCTTTTTTCTTAGCAGAACAGAAAATGATCAGTTACAAAATGTGGAGTATAATTGGGCCGCTGTTTAGGGCTGAGCTCTTGCGTTGTAAATAGCACAGCACAAGTGGCAATCTGTAGTGAAGCCCCCGATGGGTCAATATTTTCGACTTTTCCTCCACAATCCGTAAATTGCAATTTAATTGAAGGAGTCGCCAAAAATAACCTTTCAAAACCTCAAAGGGTGAACTTTGCGAGACAGGCAGAGAGAGTGGAGATCCGGTCTGGGTGTGTTTTTTTCTCAGCAAAGAAGACTTTTTTTTTATTAATGACACGTAGAGAGCAGAGCCCACATGTAGCGCACTAAACACCAATGGCACTGTGTAACGTGCGACAGTTCTCAGGTGAATATGTTTATACGATTGTCCATTACATTGCTATCGCTGCTGATCGTTCACAAATGAGAATAAAACGATCGCACAGAAATTGTCAACGCAATCTTTAACCATCATTGCGTTACATTTCATATCCTATGTAACTGTGTAGATTAATGTCCCATTCGATGCACTCTGTTCGTGTTCAACCGATTGAAGCTGGAAAAGTCTTTGGTTATAATTGCCTTCCACTGCTCTCTAATTCTACTGCTCTGCAGCTACTTACTGACTGTGAGTCTGTCGAGACCACATAGAAATAAAATGAGTAATCAAATAGGGTCACTTGTGTTTACAACGTGTTCAGCCCTTTATTGTTCACCATCCTCCCTTCACAAACCACCGACACCACAAATGATTCGGGCCATGTGCAACTTCTACACTAATTTTGACAGTTGCATTTAGTTTAGTGCGTTAGACCAATTTAGTAATGATTTTACAAGAATAAAAAATCTGCATTTGATGTGGTTGGCTCCGCTTCAAACTGTGGAGACATTTCAACCAGGACACGTTGTGAGGGTTGAAACTGTGCAAAGCGTTTTGCTGGTTCATTTGCGTCCTCTGGCGGTTAATGCTTTAGTGGCTGCTTTTCCATTTCGCAGTTGTGCATCTGTTAAAATAAAATTGTCTGATTTTCCATCTCAGACACTTGGATTATCCAGTACTTATGTGATTTAGCATAAATGTATTAGGCTATCGGAAACCACCGACAGCACTCATTAAGTACCCATCCACAATAAATTCGAGATTCATCAATCATGTTGTGCTCGTAAGGTACCTCAGCACATTTTCCTTAATAATAATCCTTATATTTGATGTAGTCCCTTTCATGTTGGACAAAACACTTCACAGGATATACAGTAGAATGCAGTGAATAATGAGGTACAATAAAAAAAGAAACAATGTATTGAAATATATTTTTCATATTTAGCTTCATGTGGTTCTTGACTAAATTCCCAAAGGAATTGTGGCACTTGCTAATAAGTTCAACTGCAGCCATTATTAACCTATGCAGAGCCAGAATGCTGCAGTGGTGAGGTGTATGTAATAATTTTGTTTTTGCAGAAGATATCTAATATTTGTAAATCACCAGTGTTCTCTGCTGCAATAGAAACTAATTGTTGTGGACGCTGGTGTGACTTGAATTCCACCGGTAATGTCCAACTTGGTTCCAGGCTGGTTTATTGTGCCATCTAGTGCCGGCATGCAGGTAAAACTATTTCTTTCAGTTTCTTGGAAATATTGTGTGCATCAATCATCAGCACTGGTTCATGATCCTACTTCATGTGCTTGTGGATCAGTGATTACCAAATCTACTTGTCAGCAAGACATTTCTCAGGGCAGGGAAAGGTGTCAGCTGCTGTTTAGGAAGGGACTTGTTGTAGCACCTTAATAAGTCAAAACATCTCAAAATTAATTACTTATTGTTTGGCTACGAACAAAAGAGACTGAAATAAATTTTGACTGCATCCCACACCAGTCATGGGATAGGTCGGGAGGCCTCTGTGATGCAAGCTGCCATCTTATAGGATAAGTTATTCGATCAATTTAACTTTGTATTTACTTACAAGAATTTCTACAATGCGACTATTTACATGTTCAGCTGAGTGATAAATAAAGCAAAGTCTCTTATTGATATTTTGCATGGGAAGCAGCTGGGATATTGATAGAATGATGGCTAAATCAAGGTGGTACAGCCTTTTGGCTGCTGAGGGCTGGATGCCCTGTTTGAGAACCGTGCACAGGCTGCATAAGCAATATTTTTGTGTTTCCCTTTCAGAAACATAACGTAACAAATTAGGTGCTATGGAAGGAGTGGGTGGGCCACATGAAATGGAGGGAGGGGGGCTGCCAGTTAGACCAACCTGACTTAAGTGATTGTGATGAGTTAAGCCAGGGTTGAGTTATCAGGAGTTTACTTAAGTTAAGAGGTTAACAGCTGAGAGGTTCATACCAAATTGTTGGGGAGAAAAGTCCTATTCAATCAGGTCAAACAGAATGCTACCTGCACAAAAGAGCAGAGGTCAATATGCTTTCCAGATTGATGCCATAATTGTTGCAGATTTGGCACAGGAATGGCTAAATTAAAGGCTCATGGACCCAGAAACAATTCTGGATATACAATGAGAATCACCACTCAGAAATGTTTCAAGGATCATCATCAAGATCCATGTTCTCCCTCCTCAGTGTCCTTTTCTAAACTATTTCTCGGATGGTCATCACTGGATTGACAGTCATCCCTCTCACAGCAGTAATATTGTGCAACATTCACCAGACTACTATAATTCTGGCCAGGTTGGGAAGCACAGGGTTGCAACCCGCTGAGCAATGGAGACACTGTCATTGAATACATAATTTATTTACTATCATGATTGGTGCAACACAATTACATGGCACATTTACAGCATTATTCTTTTGGACATTGGAATTTCCCATGAACCTTTTGACACAGGGATATTGTGCAACAAGTGTGTAGTAAGGAATATAATTCTATTCTGTTGCTGTAATGATAAATAACTTAAGCTGTTTAGCAGATCTTGGCCCTATAGTGGTAGTCAGAGAAATGAATGCAGCAGTGTCATGTTGATTGATGCTCCTGTCAGCCACTTCTTGGCAGGTACTTTTTTTTAGGATTTCGCAAGTTAATTTCTGCTGCATGTGTTACTGAATTGCTGTACATTTGTTCAAAACTAGATGTTTCAAAACCACCTGGTTG